TGTCGTGGTCACAACTAAAGGAACACAAGCAGGGTAAATTTGAATTGAGAAGGTTCCAATTGGTATCTGGCCCTTAGGGTTGCGTAATTGTGTGGATGACCAGAAATGGTCATTCATGGAGTGAACTAACTAATAATTTGGACTTGGATGTGAGTTGTATCTTGGAAACTATTAATGCGTGCTCCTTGTTGCCTGAATTAACTGTGAATGTGAAGTTGTAATTGCTTGAATGTGATGAGGTGATTATGTGAACAATAAATGTGTGTTTGAACCTTGATATGTGCAATATGTGGGCCTAGTTGTTAAAGTTATACGAGTTGTAAATGCGTGAGTATCGTGAAAACTCGTGGTGAAAAGAAGATCCTGACGAGTTTCAATGCAAGGGTTTAGATAAAACTACAAGGCGATTTGTAAGGAAAAGATGAACGTGTCTAGTGCTTATGCAATAACCGTGTGAGTGTCTAGGTGTATCCTGGGGATGTGTGGGTTGTGGTGCTGAAATAATGAGAATGAATTGGTTCGTCTACTGTGGGATTGATTTGGGGTATACAATGATTTTCCTAGCCCGGAGAATTATCCTAAAATTGTTTAGTGAGGCTGGGAACCTTTGGGAAAATTAGAAAAGAGAAAGACTCCAGAAAAAAAAATTCTTGGCCTGGGTTCTGGTTTCGTCTGAGCCGCTGGGGCAGGATTATTCTCGCCAGGGCGAGACCGCCACAGTGAGATTTCTCCCGCCAGAACGGGACTGGGCGAGGCAGAACCTCAGCCCCCCGTTCTTTTCGGTCACAATTTGAGGCCCGAATGGTATCCAAACTAATCCCAACAATCCAATCAATACAACAATAGCACATCAAGCTATAAAAGTCATAGCAATTATTTACGAGCTGCGAGAAACAAACTAGAAAACCAGCATCTATGTGCTACAAAAACTTAGGAAAACGAAAAGATAAAACATAAGATTGTGCATTACAAGCCCAAGAGGGGCGAGGAAACAAATCAGGATCCTTGAGAATAGGAGGTGTCGCTCTTTGACCCCATGTCCTCTGGTGCCGTCCCGCCGGCCCAAGCTTCATTTAACCAAGAAAACTCAATAATTCATAAGGCAATTGACAAGCTATTTTTCTTCACTATTTATGGACAAATAAATACTATATTAATTAGTACAAAACTAAATTGAGTAAGGTAGAAATAAATATTGAAGTATTGAAATTATTTTTTTAAAAAATAGGCAGAAACATATGGCAGCCGTAGTTAGTTTAGTGTTCAGTAGCTCCGAAATAAAAAAGAAAAACAGAACATACCACTGCCACTAAAAACAGAGTAGAGAAGAAAAGAAGAAGAAGAAGAAGAAGAAGAAGAAGAAGAAAAAGAAGAAGAGAAGAACAAAAGAAGAAGAGGAGAAAAACTGAAGAAGAAGAAGAACAGAAGAAGAAGAGGAGAAGTACTCAAAAAGAAGAAGAGAAGAATTGAAGAAGAATAACGTAACTGAGTCACGACTGAATAGGAGAAGAGAATCGTGCAGGTCGCAATGGAGAGAAGAAGAGCCCAAGTTTGCAAAAATACCAAAAAAACCCTAATTTTGCTGTTTAATTATTAAATCATACTTTTTTTTAGAATAAAGGCAACGCCTATCACTCACCTCGCCTCTCGCCTTTAGGACTGAATAGGTGGAATTTGAATTCAAAATTCAAAATTCCAAAAGGATAAGGGACAAGATGGAATTTGTACCAATCTCCAATAGAAAAATGAAATGGGTCGTCTGATTATCGAGCAAGGACGAGTGAGATGCGGAGATGAAGACACCTGGATCGATTCTCGAATGATTTCGTACGATTTGCAGGAGGAGAGGGACGTTGCAAGCTACTCATGAAAATGGGCTCAATTTCACTGCTGGACTCATGATTCTGGACTGTGTTTCAATTTTGAGGTTTTGGGTTTTCAGCGTTCTGCTTCTGAGTTCGTTGGGACTTCCTGGAGCTTCTAGAATTTCTAGAAGAAGAAGACATGCATGGGGTCGGGTATTGTCGCTGGAATTTGGGTTGTTTATCGGTATGTTTGGATTGCTTGACTGCTGTTGTATGTTGTATTGGATTGTTAGTGGTCCTGGGTTATTTGATGTTGGGCTGGGAAGAAGTGAATTGGGTTGAGGGGAAATTAAATTCGGCTGCTGAATTTAAAGAAAAATAGCCAAAAGTTTGTTCTTTTGATGGGTTTAAGATGTTGGCAGAAAATTGTAATTAAACAATGACCAAATTCGGTAAAAACTTGAACAAAACTAATTAACATAAATTAATTAATTAGCCTCTTAATCTTAACGAAATAAAATAATAAATTTAATGATAAACTAATTAATTTAAAAATATAAACTAATATATAACTAAACTAATTAACCAAATATTTAATTAAAATAAAATCTTTTTGAGACAATTTTTGAATAATCATAAATATAATAATTATATATATAATTATGTAAAACATATATAATATCTAAAAATTATAAAAAGTGACAAAACTAGTTAAATTAACTTTCAAACTATATTATTATTTTTTGAAATTCTGTAAAACTAATTATTTTAAATCGTTTGAAATTGAAGAACCTCAAAATGATTAATTTATATTGTGGAGGTCCAAAATTGGGTGTCAAAAACTGTCTCTTGTTTGACTTGGATTGATGAAAGAAATTCGAGTTAAATGAAATTAACGAATCCAATTTTGACCGACCACATATTCATCCTTTAGAAAAAGGGCTTTTAGTACGGACTTTAGAAATTTTGGCCGAACCCCAAAGATGGGTTTCCTACATATCTCAGGCTATATGAGAACTCAAGCCACTTGTAGTTCGATAAGCTTGATTTGACGCCCGATTTTGAAAGAACTCAAAAGTCATCTCGTTATCGAATTATGAAGAGACCGGAATTCTTAGAAATAAGATTTGAGAGCGAATGTTGGAAAATAGCCAAATTTTCAACGTTGAGTCCGCCTATATATCCTTAAACCTAAGGAATCAGACTGTTTGTAGTTCAACTCGATCGGTTGAAAAAGAAATATATTATGCTAAATGACCTTCAATTTTGGAAGAGTGACAAATAAGTTGAGTAAGAAAAAAAAAGCTAGCAACCTCTTAGTCATGAATGTGGAGCTTTTGACATCCATAAGTAAGAACTTACACTGACATAGTTTACAAAGCTCTTGGCACATTGTCACTCAGATTGGAAAGTTACCTCTGACGAAAACCAAAATTTTTCAGATGCGAAACCGAAATCGATAAACCCTAAGAAAAACCCACAAGCCTTCTGATAGGGGTGTGATTAGATTGTGGTGGAAGTCACTCCTCAGCTCGCGTCCTAAAAGTTTGATACTCCTATTCAGACTATGTCCTAGTTCGCTGCAAAGAAAAAGTTACACGTTGTGCTACATCCTTGTTGATGTCGTACGTACCTGTGGTTTGATTTGAGAATTCTTCCTCTTGGATACTCTCGACAATAACTGATATAAACTTATTAGTAGACACTGTCGTTGGAAAAAGTGGTAGTATCTCTTACTATACTTTTCACTTATCTTCTTGCACGTTCTTGTGGATACGACATTGTCTTGGTGTTTTAAAAATAACTCTTGCATTGAAAGATGTCATATAGGTATGTTCAGTATATGTCTGCACACTCAAAGTAAATAATCTATAGACATAGTGCCTCTTTAGCTAGTGACTTGGGTGAAAAAATAAAGAAAGATCATTCATATAATAAAAGAGTATATCTTTATGGATAAGCATAAACAACTTTTTCAACTAGATGAGAAAATAAAGAAGTATTGAGACTAAAAGATAATGGATACCACCTTCGAACACCGTATGTCCATTACAACTTATAATTTGTTGAGGGTTTGGAGATGTCGTCGTTTGTTTTCTGTGTGGCTAACTCCGGTGATCTCTGCAATAAACTAAATGGCTTGACAATAATCCAACTGTAACGAGGTGGATATTCGATAATATTCAAACTGTAACGAGGTAGATGACTCGATAATATTCCAACTGTAACGAGGTGGATGACTCAATAATATTCCAACTGTAACGAGGTTGATGGCTCGATAATATTTCAATTGTAACGAGGTGGATGGCTTGATAATATTTTAAGCGTAATGAGGTTGATGGCTCGATGATTTTCCAAATGTAACGAGGTGGATGGCTCGATAATATTCCAACTGTAATGAGGTGGATGGCTCAATAATATTCCAACTGTAATGAGGTGGATGACTCGATAATATTCCAAACGTAACGAGGTGGATGGCTCGATAATATTCCAACCGTAATGAGGTGGATGGCTCGATAATAATCCAACTGTAACAAATGGATGGCTCGATAGTATTCCAACTGTAATGAGGTGGATGACTCGATAATATTCCAACTGTAATGAGGTGGATGGCTTGATAATATTCCAACTTTAATGAGGTGGATGGATCGATAATATTTCAACTGTAACGAGGTGGATGACTCGATAATATTCCAACTGTCACGAGGTGAATGACTCGATAATAGTTCAACTGTAATGAGGTAGATTACTCAACAATATTCCAACTGTAACGAGGTAAATCACTTGATAATATTCCAATAGTAACGAGGTGAATGACTCGATAATATTCCAATAGTAACGAGGTGGATGACTCGATAATATTTCAATAGTAACGAGGTGAATGGATCGATAATATTCCAATTGTAATTAGGTGGATGACTCGATAATATTCCAACTGTAACGAGGTGGATGGATCGATAATATTTCAACTGTAACAATGTGGTTGGCTCGATAAGAGTCCAACTGTAACGAGGTGGATGACTCGATAATATTCCAACTGTAACAAGGTGGATGGATCGATAATATTGCAACTGTAACGAGGTGGATGGCTCAATAATATTGCAACTGTAACGAGGTGGATGGCGTGATAATATTCTAACTGTAATGAGGTGGATGGCTCAATAATATTCCAACTGTAAAGATCTGGATGGCTCAATAATATTCCAACTGTAATGAGGTGGATGACTCGATAATATTCCAACTGTAACGAGGTGGATGACTCGATAATTTTCCAACTGTAATGAGGTGGATGACTCGATAATATTCTAATTGTAACGAGGTTGATGGCTCGATAATATTCCTACTTTAACGAGGTGGATGACTCTATAATATTCCAACTATAATGAGGTGGATGACTCGATAATATTGCAACCCTAACGGGGTGGGTACTCGATAATTATCCAACATAGTTCAAAATAGGAACCTGAAATGGACAAACAAATATACGAACCACTTATGGGGTGGATCTCCCAAAAAAACTATATACTTAAATCTTTGATCAGCCAATCAAAACATATAATCCACTTATTGGGTGGATACCTAACAAATTTTGAAATCTTGACCTTGACATTGTCAAGAAACACGTACGCCTAAATTGCTACGTGAGAATCATACTAAAAAGAATTATATCGATGTATATGCACGTCGCAACTACGACTTTGTATTTCAAAAAAATAAAATTATCGAGGTAAATGACTTAATTCTTTCACATGAAAATTAAAGTCACTCCCATCTTTCATGTCAAACTGAACAAAATTTGAGTTTGTTACCGACATCTTCAATTGTTGTCGAAAACTTGTAACGTTTCGATAACTTCAACTATCATGAGGATATTGTGATCTCCAACATCATTTCTGATGTGATGGACTTGATGATTTTCCCTTGCAACACTTCTAAGATAGTGTCGCTTTTGATCATCTTTAGATTTGATGTTGATTTCACTGATGATCCTGACTTTACCAATACTATCACGTGCAAAGATTTACACCAAACATTAGTATCGACGATGAAGTAAAGAATAAATTTAATGATAAAGTGCTAGATTATGTCATTTGGCTTATCAAGATCATGTTGTGGTGAGCCTAATTGCAACTTTGATCGTGACTCATCACTAGCGATCCTACAACACGTTATTTCTTAAAACTTTCCAAGAATCTATTAGCGTTTGTCTTCAATATTCCTGCAAAATAAAAAGAAATTGTTTATAAATCACTTGACGCAACATAATGAAATGAAAATAAAATGAGATGGAAAGTTTTCTAAGTTATGTTGATGAGGCCACGATGGGTGTAAATGATGCCTTTTCTCACACTTGATAGCTTTACATTGCCATTTATGTGACTTCGATGTTCCTACATCCAAAGAAAAATTCTTAGTTTGAAAGACTGATTTGTGTTGGTCTTGTCTTCATGCTCCTTCATGCAGTTGGCTTACATACTCTTCCATCCTTTGTAACATAGTCTTGATGGAATATTTGAGGTCTCTCCTCAAAAATTCTGTCCCAATCTAAAATACGGAAAAACTCTTATAACTTGCTTTGTTAATTATGAGGTTGCTCATTTTGAAATTTTGAGGTCCCTCCTCAAAATTCTGTCCTAGTTTGCCTCAATGATAATAAGTGTTAAGTCTTTTAACAAATGACATTTTTGTGGAATTTTTGAGATGATCTCAAAAATTCTGTCCTAGTTGCACATTTCAACATGATTTCCAACTTGATTCTCTAGAAAATGCCATCTTGTGGAATTTTGAGATCCACTCAAAAAACCTACCAAGTTGCATTTTGATCTTCAGTCTTGACTTGTTGAAGAAGTCTATCTTCAAATGAATTTTTGAGATCCTCTAAAAAATTCTGTCCCCATTTCCATTATAAAAGAAATAGAAATCTTACGGTAGGGGTGATCGAGGCCGACACAGGCCGCCTACGTATCTCATTCTTGAGAATTCAAGTTAGACGTTGTTCATGTATCAAGAATGTGCGAGAAAATGGGAAGAAAGAGACTAAATATGCATTTTCAAAAGAAAGATAACAATAACATCGTATGCAAAATTCGACCAATACTGGCATACTTCTTTTCAACCTTTGATGATGAATATCTTTAAATGACTCCGTTCAAAAATGTCTTGCGCTTACTCTTAAGCATTCAATACGTTATCCCTTGAGGTGGTTTCCTTAATATTGATCAAATTATTGTGGATCATGTTTGAATCTTGTGCTTGAGGGTCGAAAAATTCTCTGTATCGTGTCCAAAAGGTCCTGAATGATAAGCACATATATGGTCAGCTCTATAAAATTTTCCCAAAAGATTGGCTGGTCTTCCTTCTATGGTATGGAATATACCCGTTGCTTTCAACCTTTCATAAAGTTTAGTTTGAGATTCCCTTAATGGTGTAAACACATTAGGAGCCTTCCTAAAGTTTGGACGGGGAAATCCTTTCTGATTGACATTGTGGTTTCGATATTTTCTTTGTGGAGCTGATCGCATATGGGTAGCCATGACAACGTATACCTCTTCTTCTTTTCCCTTTGATATATCCATTTCACTAATTCTGGTAACTTTTCCATTAGCTTGCAATGCGGTAAGGTTTGTGACTTTTCCAGTCTTGAAACCATCTTCCAAAGCTTCTCCCACCTTGACGATCTCAACAATTTTTTCTCCCATCATACACAACATTCTTTCATAGTGTTCAGGCTTTTGAGTTCGAATAAACATTTCAGTGGTCTCACGTTTAGACAAGGGAGTTTGAACTCTTGCAACCTGTTTTCTCCAACGAAGAGCGTACTCTAGATAGTTTTTTATGGACTTCTGTTTGATCTTCTCCAAATAGTAGCGATCAAGGGCAACTTCTACATTATGTCCAAATCTTTCAGTGAAATCCTTTGCATGTGGATTCCAACTCATTCACTGTTTTAATTCTTGTGATGTAAGCCACTCCAGAGCTTCCCGATTTACACTTTGACTGAAGAGACGCATCAATAATGCTTCATTTTTGCTAACTCCCACGAGTTGATCACAATAGACTTTCAGATGTGTTAGAGGATTTCCAGATCCATAAAAAGTGATGAACTTTGGCACTTTGAACCCTTCCGGAAGGTCCAAATCCGGATGAATGCATAAATTTTCGTAGTTCAACCCCACAACAGCTGAAGAGTAATGAAGTTCTTTTATCGCTTCTGCAATCTCTTCCTTCATGATCTGCTTAGTCATTTCCTCTTTAGCCGTCCACTCCTTCTCCTTCTCTTCATAGTGGTCAAGTTCGTAATAGGCAGTACAGTGAAGGTGTAGTTCGGTTTGGACTGGGATATTAAAAGTGACTTTTGGAGGTAAGGGTTGAGTGTTTGGTAGATTTTGAATGCCTTGTGCAGGGGTCTAGTACATGAAATGGGATGTTTGAGGATTGTTGACATTTAGGCTTTGAAATGGAGGGAATGTTTAAGAGTTGCTAGCATTTTGATTTTGAGGGGGATGGAAGACTTGAGGGTTGGTATTCAGGTTTTGAAGAGGAGGTGGTGCTTGGTATGAAGTGCTGGTGTGATGAAGATTTGGGGTAGTTATGTTGATAGTTGAGGGATTTTAAGCAGGGTTGGAGAGTGGGTTATTCAAGACATGTTCCGAGTTTGAACTCAGACGAGGAAAATGGAGTGGAAGTCTTCCATCTCCTAGATTGTTAACATCGACAGTCGAAATTGGCAAATCTTTCTTTTTCTGGAGCTTAATCCTCATTTCAGCAATCTGTTGCATCAACTGTGCAATTAACTCATTTTGATCAACGACAAAGAGCTGAACTATAGCAACTTTAGTTAGCCAGTATTCTCACTATTTTGGGTCGTTTTTCCTTTCAACAAATTTTGATAGGGGGGATCTTTGAGAACTTTGAATGTTCAACCAATTTCTCAACACAAATCAGTTTTGAGTACCTGACAAAGAAAAATAATTCAAAAGATAAATGTGTTAGTTTGTGTAGGTAATAGGCACTACAAGATATCACACACAACGTAATAAACACACAAGAGTTGTTTCATTCAAAGATAAAATAACCCACTGATATAAGAGATGACTAAATAGACAAAAATTTGTCCATTTGATTTTGGAATTAGTGAAAGTAACGTCGACTTGAGTTGAGACAAAGTATATTGTATTGTCGTACTTTTGATTTTCGATTGAGATGTAACTCTAATTTCCTTCTAAGAGTTGAAAAAAGATAGGATTTCTCGAAAATGGGGACCAAGCCTTGAAAGGTTGCCTACGTATCTCACGAAGGAGAATTCCGGTCATACGTAGTTCGACCAACTTGAATCTCTTTCGATTTGAGATGGAGGGTTAACCTTTTTTTTGAAATGAGAAAGTAAGATTTGAAAAATGAAATTCGAAATTTTTTGGGAAACTAATGATTCGAACGTTTGATAGTGACTTGATATTTATTCTTAGGGGGTTCTAAAAACAATTCGAAGAGGAGTGAGCTAGAATATCTCCAAATAAAGCAACATATTCACATAAGAAGTTATAACACATAAATAGATATTGTGCGTTTTAAACATATATGTGACCCTTTTGTGTCAAGGATAGGCCTAATGATTTGAAGGATGTATAACGTTGTTTGAAACATTCCATTGCCCCCAAAACCCAAATTTATGCAAGTTTTACGAATAAATTGAATGGGGATACATAATAGGGGAAATGAGATACAAAATGATCAGTCCCACGCAGGGGTACAATCCTAAACTAAGCTTTCATGGAAGGTCCTTCGTTCTTGAGCTTCTTACCATCTCAGAATGCCAACCTCTTCAGATGCAATCGTAATTTGGTTCTTCTTTCATTTAAATAACCAATTAAACTCCCATCCCCAAGAGACAATGTTTTGCCAAATGACATATACTTCCTTCAAATTTAAACACATAAGCATGATTATTTTTATTGACCAATGGGCCAAATATACACAAGGTGGGCTTCTAATAGGCCCAACATGCCTTGGGTGTTGTGTCAACTTAGTTCAAATGCACTAAATCTGGGATTTGGTTTCACTCTACGCTAGTTGACTAAGAGTGGCTTTTGAATGATCAGGACCCAAGCAGAAAACTTCGGCTGGAACTCACGACAACCATTGGACACCTGACGAATCAATAAATTGCCGATCATTCCGAAATAGGGTCGAGTATAAAAAGCCCGACTGCGATTACGCAAAAACCATTTTTAATAGACTATACATACATGTT